TTTTCTTTTCGCTTTTATGGTTTGAAATTCTTTATGATTTTTCCTTTTCTCTTTTTATGATTTGTGCAGAAGTTTAATTGCATTAATGTGGTGCAGATGTGCCATTTTTTCTTGTCAGTATTGATTCAAAGTTGGAGGCTACCATTAGGCCTCTAAATGACTGGGAAGATTGCGAAGGTAATGGTCAGAAGGTATGTTGATATAACTTTTGTACATTCTCTGAAAACTGCTTCTTTTTTGTGATCTGGAAGATGAAAGTTCTTGTAATATTCAGTTTATGGATGACTTAAATAAACTATTGGAATACAATTATCGATAAATTACCTTTTTACGTCTTCCCTGCATGTCAATGGCAGTTGCTCTTTGGTTTTTTTGACCCATGTCACCTCCCCAATAATCCTGGTTGGCCCCTCCGCAACTACCTAGCACTTATTTGTTCAAGATGGAATCTGAAGGCAGTGCGCTTTTTATGCTATAGAGAGACTCGTGGTTTTGCTGATATGGGGCTTTCCCTGGTCGGTGAGGCCTTGATTACAGTTCCACAAGGTAGAGCGGCAGAGACTGGGTAACAGCTCTATTCTGATTGATAATTTTGTCCTATCTGCATTGTTTCTTTGTATTTTCTAACTAGTGATGGGTCTTTAGCATGGAGCAATCATCGGGATGTACCCAGTGCTGTGGGATGGGAACTTAACAAAGGGAGGAAGGTATCCAGGTGTATTAGTCTTGCTAAATCCATGGATCCAACTAGGTATATTACATTGTCTGCAGTTTGTGGTCCATCATTTTATCTGTGGGTAGCATTTTAACTTCCTTCCACAGGTTGGCCATCTCTGCTGCAGATTTGAATCTAAAACTAATGAGGTGGCGTGCGCTGCCGTCTCTAAACCTAAACATTTTAGCATCTATCAAGTGTCTTCTTCTTGGAGCAGGTACACTTGGATGCCAGGTTGCTCGCACACTTATGGTAGGTTCTATAGGACTTTAAACCCTAGTTTCATTTTGTCTCATGGATGATTGAAGATCATATCCATTGCAGGGTTGGGGTGTACGCAAAATTACCCTGGTTGACAGTGGTAGGGTGGCTATGTCTAATCCATTGAGGCAGTCCCTCTACACATTTGATGACTGCCTCAATGGCGGTGATTTTAAAGCCATAGCAGCAGTGAAAAGACTTAATCAAATATTTCCAGCCATGGTAATCTAATTTACACTTGAGCCCTTTATTCACTAATCTCAGCTCCACAAGCTGTTAATTCTTTTATTTTTGCTTTTTTCTCCTTTCCCAGGAAGCTGAAGGTGTTGTGATGGCTATACCAATGCCTGGGCATCCAGTTTCTAGCCAAGAAGAGAGTAGCGTGCTTGATGATTGTAGGCGCCTGAGTGACTTGGTTGATTTCCATGATGCAGTGTTTTTGTTGACTGATACAAGAGAAAGTCGGTGGCTCCCCACCCTTCTTTGTGCCAATACCAACAAGGTTGGATCTTCCTGTATAAGCCTTTCGTATCATGAATTATGGGGGAGTTAATTACTTAGCAACAAATTGGATTATGTGTTTGTTATTTGTTACTTATGTGCATGCAGATTACTATAACTGCTGCTCTAGGGTTTGATAGCTTCTTGGTCATGCGCCATGGACCCGGCCCTTTTAGCTCTAGTCATGATTCAAAAACAGAAACTGCAAATTCCTTACTTCAGGATATGAGCAAACTTGCTCTTTCTGAAATAGATGGAGGGCGGAGGTTGGGTTGTTACTTCTGCAATGATGTCGTTGCCCCAACCGATGTAATGCTCACATTGCAATTATCTGTCTTTTTGTTGTTTGCATATCCAGTTAAGTCTTAATTTCTTTGGCTTTCGCACAGTCAACTGCAAATCGCACTTTGGACCAGCAATGTACTGTTACACGGCCAGGTCTTGCTCCAATCTCTGGAGCTCTTGCAGTTGAACTTTTAGTGGGGATCCTGCAACATCCTCATGGGTAAGTCCTTGAGAATCATTGCATAGAACTTGTTTGTTTACAAAATGAAGCTTTAAGCATTTGAGAAGGGTAGCTGTATTTGAAATTTCTCGTGCTTGGTTTTTATTTTTGATCTGGCATTCTGATGTCCGTACCATCTATACACAGGATATTTGCAGGGGGTGAGATTTCAAACTCCAATAGCTCTAGAAACAGTGAACTCCCACTTGGTATCTTACCACATCAAATTCGGGGTTCCCTTTCTCAATTCTCTCAGATGACACTTGTGGGCCACTCATCAAACAGTTGCACAGCTTGTTGTAGTACTGTAAGTTTTTGGATGATCAACATCCTAAATATTGTAATTTTTCCAATGATTCTATTTTACCTGCATAACTTCTTAGTGCTTTTCATGCATTTACTGTTGATAGCTTCCACGCGTTTTATCCTACAGAAAATTATGTAAACACGTCTCGTAGCTACCTTTTCTAATTGTTTGATAATATGAAAGGACATCGATTTTCTTTCTTGCTTTGCACGCTACAATGCCTGGTAAAACATTGAATAACAGTTGTAATGCAATATTTCATACATGTTTTCCTTTTTCCCTGAAATCATAATTTTTGAGGATTGAGATTTTGCGTTCAATGAACTCCTCAGGTGGTATCAGAGTACCGGAGAAGAGGAATGGAATTCGTACTTGAAGCAATCAACCATCCTACCTATTTAGAGGATCTAACCGGATTAACGGAGCTGATGAAGTCTGCCAATTCTTTTAATCTAGACTGGGAAGATGAAATAGACGACGAAGATGGTAATTGTGTTGAAATCTGAACATTATCTAACCTTTAATTTGCTAGTTTCAGCGTATCTGTTAATTATACAAATAGGTTGACAAAAAATGTAAACTTCAGAAACGTTCTTTTCTAAATTAATTGGTTTTTGAGTTGGTTGAAAAAACCTTGTGAGATGCTGAAACTGATGGATGCTATCTTGGCTCAAGCTTTCTCGGAATGTGAAAATCAGATACCAAATGGTATAGCAAATTGCATCTGGTCATGTAATTGATGATCATTGGTACGAAAATTAAATTTAGATAAAATATTATATATTTTAATTTTTGTTTTTGGTCATGCAATTGATTTGGTTTTTAGTTTGATTTTGTGTTAAATTAATTTTTGAATTTTTAAAAAATGTTCGAGTTAAATTTTCTTGTAGTAATTATTAATAATGTTAATGACCGCACCATATGTCATCAGTTTATATACATGATTTTGCTCGTGTTATTTGATGTGTCGCATATTTTAACTAATATATAAATTATTTGTAAAAAATAAAAAGTAAAATTATTTTCTCTCCTTTCCTTCTCTTCCTTTGATTCTTCAAGATCAAGATTTACCATCTTCACTATTTTGCAACATATTCTTACATAACCCTTGCTCCTATATGTATTTGCATTCGTGTATGTATAGGTTAATTTTGGTAATCTTAACATAATTAATTTAGAAATTTATAAACAATCTTGTAACTCATGATGACTTCTATGTAATTGATTGAAATGTTGACATCTGATAAGTTGTATGAAGATTATGCAACACAGGGACATTCTTAATTTTTATTCTTCTCATTTTTTTTCATGCATGTGATTAAATAATTGAGTCCTGATAAAATAGTCATATATAATGCCTAAAAATATTTTATTTAAATAAATTATTGAAAACTATTATCATACAAAGAAACAAAAGTTAATTATTATAACCATGATGTGTATTTTAAATTCTTTGAAAGTAAAAAAGAATAATTTCTTAAAAAATTAATCTTAAACAGGTGGCAAAATACAAAAAGAAACATATTATATACATTTTTTTTAATTAAAGAATTATACAAAATATTAGTCTATATGACCTTTTTCTTATGTGGGATATGTACAAGTAAATTATTACAGTATACATTTACAAGGATTTCAAATGATGATAAACCCAGTTCAATTAAACCCTAATTTACTTGAAAAGAAAGTTATTCAGTAGCAAAAAAAAAAAATAATAATAATACTAATAACAAAAAAAATTAAAAAAAGAAAAGAAGCTTAATTAATACTAATTACAAAGATTAAGTATTAATTATAAACATAAGCAAATAACTTGCTATCAACGCCCAATACACGTGGCGCTCTAATGAGTGGGATAAAGATAACAAAAACAAATTAATTAATGTATAATGAATGTGGTCCACCTCACGAGCACCCAATCTATTTATTTACTTTCACTTCCCTTGAATATTTTTACTTGTTTGGTACGTCGCAGTTAATAATTATTAACCGATAGATTTCAAACAGACTAATTAATGAATATAATAAATATATCAATTATAGTATAATGTAAGTAATTTTTAAATAATAATAATACATGTAGAATTATAATTTAATTTAAATTCATAATTTATATATAAAAAAAATATAGATTTAATAATCTAAGCATCTGTGTTATTTAACTAATATTTTTAATTATTTATATTTATTGTATATTTAAAGCATGTAAAAATTTATATTAGAATTTTTTTCCACGAATGAGTGTTGTTATTTGATTTTTATTTTTATTTTTTTATTTTTTTGCTGTAAAGCGGATATGAATATAATTTTTTACAAGTAAATATTTTTTTAACCCATATTTACTTTATGACCTACTAAATTAACCCATTTACCCATGAAAAAGAGGAAATCAAATGGAGACAAATTATGGGATAAGATAACAACTTGGATATATATATATATATATGTGTGTGTGTGTGTGTGTATCCTGTTAATTCACATGTGAAATATTACTTTCATTCATTGGTTGATGATTTCTCAAATTTCTTGCAGTGGAATCTGACATCATGCATGCACCACTTTCCCACAACCCATCATGCAATTTCACTAATTTCCTTTCTACTTTTCTTCTCTCTCTTATATATATATATATGTATGTATGTATGTATGTATATATACATGAAGGTCAATTTTGGTGATTGCCCTTTTAAAAAAAAAAGGTGCTGCACTAGAAAAACCTGGTGCTCCTTGATACATTATTGACTGAATTAATTATAAGTTTTATTTGCCAAGTATTATGTATATATATATATATATATATATTTGAAGTGTCGTTTATACTTATTACTTCACAATTCAAAGTAGTAGTTGTGGAAAAGAGGTGGTGATATTGTGTGCGTGTATATAAATATGTTGAGTGGAGGTTATACAATTGAATATACCGAAAATTCGGCAAATTAGATTATAAAACTTTCTCAGCCTCGTATGAGATCTCTTCCATTTCAAACAATGGTTAAGAATAAGTTCCATATGGAATCAAAAGAAAGCATCAATTCTAAGTATGAAATTGATATAATTTTTTATTTACACCCCTTCTCATATCTGATTCCATTAAAACAAAAAAATTTAAATTAAATTCATTTTTATTACCCACTAAATTCAATAATTTTTTCGTTTTAAGAGAATTTGTAAAAAAATCGAAACTTAAACGAAAATAAAATTATAAATTAAATGCGGAAGATAAATAATAAAATTAAAGTTTACGTTCTTTACGCAATACTTTAAAAGGTCCGATAGGATTACGAGAATATCCATTTTAAAAGATCAAACGAAAATTAAAAAAAATAAACGAAAGACAAATAACTAAGCAATTCTAGAACGACCTTCACTATCTCTTGAAGGGAGTCCGGATGGTGAACTATTCACAACTCCATTGTTGATCGAGATCTGGATCTTGATCTTTTTGATTTGAAATAGTTAATGAAGGAGTGAGTTATAGTAACCCATTAAAACTATCATACTAATCACAGATACAAAAAATTAAAGATTATTAAAAATCAGAAAAACAACACTGGAGCCCTTAATTTCATGTAAATTCATTTACTATAAAGAAAACTATTTATTTCATATCGTGTAATAAGTCATTCCCAATAATAACTTATGAAAACTCATATTCATGCCCTATTATTTATTACATATAAGATGACAAAAAATGATCATTTTATATTTTTACTCACTTACTGGTACCCTGGGAGTTCATAAGGATGTCCTCCTACTCGTGAACTCAATATTCAATTAAAAAATTAACTGACCGTCCCTATATCCCGTCCGGTAATGGGCACTAAATATTCTGGTATGAAGGTGAACCATATCTTTCAAACTTTACCGGTAAGAAACTTCTTACCGACTGAAGTAACATTCATGATAGGAATTTTTATGTACCGGACTTATTCGCCATTTTCCAAGTACCCAGTAAGTCTTTCCTATACAGATTTCCATCAGCATAACAATCAACCATGCAATAATGATGTCTCATTTTATATTCACCGTTCATTTAAATAACAATATAACTTAACACAGCCAAATAACCAATGACTAGAATACTGACATGCAATGGAGGAGAAACAATTAACAAAATAACTAAAAAGATCCTAAAAACTATCAACTGAGTTATGCACAATATAATAGTAAACAAATATGAGTAATATAAAAAAATAGACAGAAAATCAAAATGACTGTTAACTAAGCGGTTCCAACTTCACTAATGACGTATAATTTTTTTTTAAGATTCTCTAATTTTTTCATAAAAACACATAATTATTAATTATTAAGCCATAATTTGCTGTAGCGGAGAAAATGGTGAGAGATCCTAATATGAATCGATGTCCAAAATACTGAATTTTCTACTGCACCTACTAACGGTCCCTAGATTTTCTGAATTATCCATACAGAATCTAAAACACTTGTCACATATATAAAAATATCATAGGAATAAAAAATCGATGTAAAAAATTCTTTTCGACCAATTTTGGGATTTCAGCACAACTACACCACCGTGCTTGGGAGACGGCACCACCGCTCACGGTGACGGTTTGCCTTGGCCTAGTCGTTTTTGGTCAATTTTGGTTAGTTTCGATCGACTTTATACGTATTTCTGCGAAAAATACGTTAGGGGGACTTAGTTGGCCGAAAAAAATTAGAAAATGAAAACCTACAGGCAGTGGGGCTTTCTGGGTGCGGCGACTCTGGCGAATCATCTTCCCAGTTGGAAGATAATAGTAAAAAAATCGCACAAAACTGGAAACGAAAAGGGGTTCATCGGAGAAGGTTGTGTGTTTTGCCTGCGGCAGTGCTGTCGGGCTTTGCCTGCAGTTTTTAGCTTACCTGTTGTTCATTTTGCTCTGATATGGCCATAGGGATACTCGAAATCGAATTCCGGGGGAGTAAAATTTTTTTTACCTTTTTTGGTGGTCGAAGGTGGCTCTGGTGCGACGTTGGTCAACTCCCTTCTTCGGCGATTGGTTCTTCTTCTCCAGTGGGAGGCTGTCGGCTAGGGTTTGGGTTTAGTATAATGCGAAATATTTATAATCATCTCGCGTTTATCTAGACTGTTCATCGCATTTGATCTCGACCATTCTATCGCATTTAAAGAGAAAATAAATCTAAATTATTCATTGCGATTTAATCTCGATCATCCGATCGCGTTTAAATAGAGAATAAATTCGGACCGTCG